ACACCTGCATATAAACCTATGGTACCGCTCCGATAGCAGGGATGTACTCCCATATAGCACATAAATGTAATCTAACAAGGGTACAAACTGCTAGAATATTTATTGTTAAAGAATGTGTATTTACAACGTTCTGATATAGTTACAAAAATATATCTCTATTATTACAATATCTTTGCTGACTCTTAAAAGTATAACTGTGATTTTATCTTTCTACTTAAAATTTTTCTTAAAGAATTTCTTAATTAGCAGCAAGTTCTGATTTAATTGAGACCTGGGTATCTGTTCCTTTCAAAGCGAATAACGTATTAGTAACAGCCCGTTTTCCACATAGTAACTTTATAGTTCTTTTTCGTTTTATATTTTTGTCGCATCACAGATAAAATTGTAGATACAGTTATCTCAGATAAAAGGTGGAGGGTCCATTTTTATTTTACTTGTTAGAGTGATAAGATCATTTTAAAAACCAGTTTTATTTTTGTCAGATCAGAGCACAGACATAATGTCTCGCCTATAGACTCCGCAAGTACAGCAATTTGTATGAAAACCAAGCGTGCCACATTTTTTGTACCCACTATGACGTCACAAGTACTATTTAGTGATGCCTCGTTCCGATCTAAATCATTGATTGAACGGAATCCGCGTATTCCCTTTAATAAATCGAATTCTAAATAGAATAATGTTTGTTCAACTGTTTGTTGATTACAAGTAGTCGTGAAATATTAATATAGTAGAAAAATACTAAAACTTGTTTTTAAAAAATGTTGATTACTTAAAAAATTCACTTTAGTTTTTAATCGACTTCAAATATTAAAATTATTGTCCTTCCAATAAAATGAGTTTATTATATAACAATTTTTTGTAATAGAAGATCTTATCGATTAATTTAAATAATGAAAATGTCCGATAACATGAACTTGCGACTGCCTTAATTAAATTTACTGCAAGACACCTGAAAACGTTACTGCTGACAAAATATCGTAAAATCTTATTAATCAAAAGAGGTTTATGTTAATGACGGCGTAGTGTGAAATTTTTGTGATTTGTTTATCATTTCTCGGATTTGTAACACTGCTACTCTGCATATTTACGGTGGTGGTCATAGAATTAAGAACGATTAATGACACAAAGCCATTATTATTTTGCAATAATCATTAAGTGTAGAATTAATTTAAAAATATGCTCTGATGGTGTTAAACAATATTATCTGGATTGAGATATTTTATTTAGCGTAATAATCTTGTTTAAATAAAGGTACCTATATATTATTTATTTATTAAAACACATTCACTCAGTCACTTGCGGAGCACTGGCTGGACAAATAATTAAGAACTAAAATATAATTTTAGCATTTTTACTATTTTGAAAAAGGAATGCGATAATTCTTCATTACTATTTTCGTGTCTTTTGCGCGGCATTGTTGGTTTAAAAACGTTTTATGCAATTATTTATAGAAACATTAAGATTTGAGGTTACTTTTCTGGTTATGGCGTAGGGTCTACTAGGCTGATACTGTACATATAATATGGACCAATACCAATGCAAACACGTCCTTGAAGAATGTATGCTACCGTACGCTGATGAAAATCTTCCGATAATTTGAACATTCCAGCATGACAATGTCCCAAAACATGCAGCCTACTCTGTTCGAAGATTTCTCGACAGCCACCTGGTTACTGTGTTGGACTGGCCACCAAACAGCCAGATCTTAATCCAATAGAGCATTTTTGGTGTCAAGACAGAAAAGAAATTAGCAAACAGACGGTGTATTAACGTGAACGAATTGTACGATGCGTTTTTAGAAGAATGGAACTCTGTTTCACTTGAAAACTGCAAAAAGTTAATAGAGTAAATGCCGCGTCGCTGCCATGCTGTTATCCACAGTCAAGGAGAGGCTACCAAACATTAAATTCCTTTTTTTATTTATTATTATATTATTAAGAAAATTTTGTTTAATTATTTAAAATATACCTCTTCTCAAATTATTAAAATATTGTGAATACTACAGTCAAGTCTCTACCTCGTTTTTAATTGTTTGTCTAGCCTCCATCCTATTAGAGTTTAAATAAAATTAAAATGATTCTAATTTTAACAGTATTTTGAAATATTATTTATTTATTTAATTTTAGATTTTGTTAGCCCCGAATGTATACTAGCGAGCACTATAGTCAATATTTTCCAGTAAGGGTTATTATGTTTATTATGAACATTTGTATATCAAAATGATGCCGTATTATGAAGCGTTCTTAATTTTATGACCACCACTGTATATAGCATCTACGGTAGAACAAACTAGACCACCTTCGTCCTTGAAAGTAACGAACTCATGCGCATGACAAATCCAGGTTTTTGTAAAGACAGCGGACTGTTACATTCTTCGCATTTTATATTTTTTTGTATTACTCGTACTACACATCCGGCGATGTATGTAATTATTTGCTCACTATATTCGGACATTCGAGGCAACGTGCTGCAGAAATTACAGATACTACTGATAATAGATACTACAAAACTGAAAAAATAAATGAAACGTTATTGTAAAAAGTTATAGAATATTTTTAATATATTGCTAAGATCATAATAATTATCGCCCCTTTGTTTTCAAAATCGATTAGAATCGAACAGTGTGACCTAACGTATACATCACTAAATGTTAAATTTGGCCAAAAAACGTACAAGCGGCCGTACCACGAAACTGAATGCATTATTCAAAAGTGCGCTCGTTCGATATTCGTGGCGTACCTATTAACAAAGAATCACAAATATGTCGCAACAAGTAAAAGCAGCCTTCATGAGGCACCCGCTTGCATATTTGTTTTCTCGAAATTCATATAAAATGAAAATAATTGTTTTTAAAATAAATTATGTACCTTCTGATTACAAAATCACTTATCGGTAGAGAGAAATGTCCCTGTTTACTCGTTTACCCACAGCGATGGAGCTTTTGCAGTTTTAATGGCACACTTAGGCATTTTTCGCGTTTTCGACTGGTGTTAGATAACTGTCGAGCGCGTTCTGAAGCGTAGCGGCGGTAACTAAGTGTCTGTACCTTACATTGGGCACGCGAAGTACGTA